CATCTTTCTCTTTGACACCATGTCTGAAATCCCACGTGATCTGTCAAATACTAATGCATGAAAATCCTAACCTCAAAAAAATCACCCGTTACATTAAAGGCTCACAGATAAATTTGTCGCGATTACAAATATTGACGTGTGTGTGCATTACAAATGCAATACTCTTTGTTCATTTATTTTGCTTAGAGGTACTTGTACATATCGCTACCTAAATCAAAAATAGGACCAACTCAAAAAATTCCAAATGTTTAGTAGAGGCAAAAACTGTTGATGCTGCGCCAGCGACAAGAGCAAAACAAATACAGTCTTAATTGTTTTTTGTTTTCGGTTAAAGAAGAAGACATTTTAGTGGATGTTAGAAATATGGTCTGTGTACTGTTTTATGAGAAAAAATCTATTTTGAAATTTTTTTTAGTTATGACTGTTTTTGAATTAAAGTGCGATATCTATGTTTGTATTTGCCACACCAACGATCAATTGCAATACTTAGCATGTGCATACACAGTTTATTAAATTTGATTGCATGTGGTCAGAATGCCAGTAGGAAAATCACAGCGTCAGTCGTAGCACTCTGAAATTGGATTATTCAAATACAATGATAAATGGATTGTTTAAAATTGAGCTAAGTAAATAATAATTCTTAGCAATTATTTTTGAATACTGTGAGGCTAGTTCCTATAAGTTGCGGCCTATATTAGAATAACTTCAAATTGATAAAAAACTGAAACCAACTCTCTCCTACAGTCCCCCACAAGTTGCGACCTAACCAAGGAAGAGGAAAGCGCCCGAATAGCCGCCTGGTTAACTGAAAAAATATGCACCAAGTGCAAAATGTTTTATATGCACATGTACATACATACATACGCCTGCGTTCAGCTAATTAGAAACGAAATTCAAAATGATATTGTTTGCAAATTATGTTTATTTTTTTTATTTGTAATAATTTTCATAAATATAATTTAAAATATAATTCAAAATCTAACAGAAACTATAATTATAAAAATTTCAAAGCTTGCAAAAGATGTACAAAAAATTTATCAAACTTCAAAAAATTGCCATCAAAATTTTTTCAAATTTTTAATAAGAAGATCTAGAAAATTTTCGAGTATGCAGTTCTGTAGCCCATTAAATTGTAGTCTAAGAAAGTGCAATTTTGATCATGTGTGATAATTAGAAGAAAATACACAACACCCTCCATAAAAAAACGACGACAGGGCTACGCGACGACTGTAGTTGTGGCCAGATTAGATCTATTTCGATTTTTCCAGCGACAGATAAGTTTCTATTTCCTCTTCTTTTATGTCAAACTCATACAAATGATGTCGCTGCCGCGTTCAAAAAAATCCTGTCGCCTTCGACAAAGCGTTTAGAAATGAAGATAACAAATTGGAAGCTGTGGCCTGTAGCTCGTCGTTTTCAATGTGTTCAGCACTTAAGGACAGAGGCGTTAGAAGAGTGGGGCTCAGTGGATATGCAAAGAGATGTCTGGACTCATGAGATCTCTCGGCGTGCCGAGCATTCGTTTCGCACATCTGCTTTTACTCTGATCAGGTATGAACGAGTTTAACCTGCTGCAGTAGCCTGAGCGAAGTATATATAACTCGCTTATACATACGTATATCAGAGGGTGGTCTATTAAGAATGGCATGGTGAGGAATTGCCTCTATTTCCATTAACCAAAAGCTCATTATCTATAGTAGCTGTTAAAAAAACAACAAATAAAAAATATCTGTCGTTAATACAAGTGAATTAAAAAAACCAAATTCACTGCCCTATAAAAATTTGGTAGGTCCGTTAGTTTCTTCATGATGAAATTATTGGAACTAAACCAAATATGGGGCTGCCCTGAAGGTACCACATTTTCGTTAGAAAAAGAATTATGGAAAACGGCTCTCGTGGTTCAAATATTTATTCGCACGAATTGATAAAAATTGATTAAAAAGAGCAGAACGTTCGGGGTCTCGCTGGGTAGGATTTCATTGCGCCCTCGAATTTATTTTTTAGTAAAAATGGTAATATTTTTATTTGTAAAGAGCATCAGGACAATTTTCTTCGGATTCTCACTAAGTAAAGAGTTATGATCCAGGGATCTGCTTTACTTAGAGCGCTAAGTATCAATAATTTCACTGATAACCGTAGGAAATTTCTACGATACTAGTAGGGCTACGATTCACGCCACCACTTCGAGTAGGGCGGTCTCAGTTGACTTTGATTTTAGATAGGCATGTCGGGAGTACGACAATACTTTAACCTTCTTCTAAATTATCGGGACAGGATTTAGTATTAAATACCCTCGGAAGCTTTCTCTAGCATGATTGGTAATAATCCGTTCTTAACCGATGATTTAAAGAAGATAAAAGTGAAACACAAACAAGGGTGCCCAACAGAAGCTACATTTCACTGAGTTACCACACTGTTATCTCTATACAAAGTTCCCAGCCTTCAGAGAAATGGGCTGAACAGTGTTTTTTCAACAATAAAGCGACAGTATTTTCAATCTGCAGTTTTATTAAAAGTACGTATTTTCCCTGTTTACTTATTACCACTGAAAGCCTAATTTTCTTAACTCTAATTTCTTATTTGCTATTTTTTCAGTCCACATCCAGCTTTCGAAATGTACCTTCTAAACCAAATAATGGTTCGGTATTAATTGAACCGCCTCCCACACGTAACTTCTCATCAACACCATAATACTTCTCTTCCAATAAATATTCACGGTATTCCAAAATTAACTGCTCAGTTCTAGCAACAATCTCCTCAATGCTGCTATTCTCACCACCATATTCCTTCGGCAAATATTTTTTAGGTACGGCTTCGCAAAGCGATTCAAACGTGGTGTGCACTTGGAACTGTAAAAAAGAGGTGAGCAGTGAATAAATTTAAATTTATTATTATTTATTTATTTTATGCAATGTTTTTCAAGGTAAAATTTTTTTTTGCTATTTTTTTTATAAAAATATTGTTCATGCTTTAATCAAAACCACATAAACCAAACTTACAAATTTTATACAGAATTTAGAAAAATGCAACGAAATTTCGTCTAAATTTTGAACTTTTGAATCTGTTTAAAAAAAAATAAAATATTGAATACGCAGATAGATCAGTTTTTCAATTCTAGTAAACCAAGTGCAAGTTTTAAGCGGCTTTAAAATCGCGTTGATATTTATTGATTTCTTATTGCTGACGGATTTTTGCACTTTTTACCTTATAAAAAGGAATTTTTGTAGAATAAAATGCGCATGACCGTTTGCAAACAAAATAAAAAAAAAAATAACGCTATATTTTATAAATTGCAATTGTTATATGCATAAGACCGCAAAATCCGCTTAAAACTTGCACTTGTTGCACTGAATGACATAGCCGATCTATCTGCGTACCGAAATTTTTTTTTTAAATTCAGATTAAAAAGTTCAAAATTTATTCGGTGAATTTTTCTAAGTTCTGTATAAAGTTTGAAAATTTGGACCATATTTTTACAAAAAAATAACAAACAAATTTTAGTTTCGAAAACATTGCAAATATTAAACAAAAAACACCATGCACTCACTGGGACAAGTTTTAACCAAACAGTTTTTGCCCCATCCAATGTTTTTTTTTTAATATGTATTCTGTCATCATAATCAACTAATTTAAACTAAAAATAAAAGGCTCCCATTCAAAAGAAACTCGATTATCCGTAATTTATCGAGGAATAACTTTTACAACGAAAGTCAAAAGCCATTCTACAGTAAAAGGAGGGACCCCAAAAACACAAAAAATCAGCGCCTATTTTTGAGCCCAATATAACTTCTGAACTAAAAGAAATAAATGAACAGAATACGATTTAAAATAATGCTCTAAGTTTACCCCGTATCACGCCACAAAAATTCAAAACTAAATTATGTTCAAAAATCCCCATTACCCTCCCAAACTCACCCTTTCGACCATCTTCGCTGGCATCACCAATTTAACAGCGGCAAACATTTTCTCGAATACGGCGCCAGTATTGAAAAAATGTGAATTTTTAATGCGCATCGGCATACCTTCTTCGGCATACAAGCTAAAGCGCTTCATAAGTGTTGGACTCATTTGAACGAAATGTGCCATGGTGAAGTCCTCAAAGTCGCCGATTTGCATAAAACCACCCACAATCAAATTATCATTGCTTATCAAAAAGATATCTTGCAGTATGAAGCTGGCGCGCAATATTTCAGTCATATTGAATTTGTTGGGGTCGTATTTGCCAGGGCGCATTAACACTAAGCATGGGCCATCCTCCATTAGCGGTAGCGGCAAGTAAAGCGTAACGCTGCAGATTTTATATGGAATTTGTACGATTATACTAAGTAAAGGATATGAAATTTTCGCTTACCCCAAACGTATAATGGCGCGCAGCCGTTGATCATCCACAAAGTTGTGTTGATTCAAATCGGGCATCGCCGTACGCAAAGTATAGTATTGATCCAGTTTTCGTTTCGCCTTCTCCAGACTAAATTTGCAGCCACGCAGGAAGCTTACAAGAAATTGATCGCTCATGCGGCACTTCAAATGTGGTTGCCTTAGCAACCATTCTCTCAATGCAGCGATGTCCACGGCCCGACGCTCGGGCACCTCATTTAATTCGGCAATCGCTTTTCGTTGTAGCGCAGGTGTTAGTGTGCGTATATCTAGGGTGGGCGTGGTCATTTTCGTTATTTTTCACGACTTCGTTTACGCCAGAAATAGTTTTAAATGCTGTAGACACTGCCTTGATGATTTCCCGAGTACGGTAATATTACAAGTGAATTGTGTTTTTGATTAGATATTAGAAATATATACATACATATACACACATTAAAGCTTCACAGATAAAATTGTCGCGATAAAAATATGGATGTGTGTACATAGCGAATGCGATATTTTGTTCGTAAGTACGTAGTACATGTTTTCCACGCTAGCGATCAATTCCAATACAAAATATGAACATACTTACACAGTTTATTAAATATGATCGCTTGTAGGCAGCATGCCAGTAGAAAAATCGTAGTGTCAAACGTAGCGTGCTTTATTACACCCAGAAAATGGACTCTAGATTTTTCTATTGAATTCCATTTACAGCCGTCTAGTGAATTTACGGACGTTTAGTGAATTTACGGACATCCAGTGGATTTGCAGGCGGCTGGAAGGCTGGTCAATTGGCAGGCGGCTCGTAGTGTGGCAGACGGCTCGTAGTATGGCAGGCGGCTCGTAGTATGGCAGGCGACTGGTGTATTGGCAGGTGGCTGGTGAATTTGCCGGCAGCTGCAAGCAGGCGTTATCAAAGGATGTTAGCGGGGCGTACGTGGGCGTGCACTAGGTGGACGGTAGACTGATTTGCGAGTTGTGGGTCGACTCCCTATGACCTGGGGGCATCCGTATTATGGCAAGCTTAACGCGTCGTGAGCAACTTTAATTCAATCGTATAAAGTATTGAATTTGAAGTGGTGAAACACGATATACATAGATTGGCACAGCCGGCAGTCACGCAAAGTTCAACCGGGAAAACAAAAGGAGATCGAGATCAACTAAATATTGTCGTTCGAACACAAACTTAAGCAACAAATACAATAGCCTACCCCGAGGCTCAGCTTGTGTATTCAGCTTCTTTCACTGACTAACTGACCGTTTATGCCAATGATTCTATGTTATTAATAACTTTTAAAATTTTTTACTTAAAAGATAATTTCACAATGACGCATTGGTATTGCATCAGCCATTGGATTGATGATTAGGTAAGACAAAAATATGCAAAAAAAAACTTAACTATATGATCATTAAAATGACTCCAAAATATTAAAAATATACTTAACGAACATTTTTTCGATTATCGCATAAAAAGTTTTTGTACATACATACATGCATATATGTATTGCAAATGAACGCTCCACGTCACAAGACTTTTTTGGACATAATTTAAAAGATGACAATTCTCCAGATGAAAATATTGCAACATTTTATTGAGCATATTTGTATAGAAAAACACTTGAAAGCATAAAATACATTTTTTTTTATAAAGAAACATATTTTAAACAAAAAAATTACTAACCGATTTTTAAAAAGGCTATAAGAAAACTTATATTTTCTCAAATCCAAAAATTTCGTTTAATATACACAAAAGAAAATATGTATATATATAAACATTTTTTCCCTCTATATAAACTCCTGCCCCTAGATGAAAGGCTGGCAACGCCCTTGTATACAAAACAAATAAATTATTTAAACCGTAGGTATATCATACGTAATGTGACTTCTTTCGGAAGTACAGTACTTCTTTTAACGCTCTTGTACTTCGTACTTCGAAGTACAGTCAAATGTACTTCTTTGAGATATTTTGTACTTCAGGAGGGAGATTCTGTAGCCAGTTAGCGACAATTTTTGGATTTTCATCACACCTTTTGATGCATGATATAAAGGTTTTGCGTCAAAAAGTGCGATAGCGATTTGAAAATGGTCACTAACTGGTTACAGAATCTCCCCCTGGTCCTGTACTTCTCCGATCTTCTGGACGATCATCACATGACCTGGGCGATAAATTCGTTCAAACCATTAAAGTCGCCGGGGACCGATGGCATCATACCTGCGCAGCTGCAAAGGGCTCTGAAGGTGTCGTGCAATTGATTGGGTCCTATTTATGCGAACTGCGTGAGGACTGGGTACATCCCCAAGGCTTGGAGGGTAGTCAGTGTTGCGTTCATCCCGAAGGCCAGAAAATGCCCTCATGTTTCCCCCTAGGGATTTTAAGCCTATCAGTCTCTTCGTTTTTGTTAAAAAGGCTTTTGCTAAAAGCGCTAGAGAGACTAATAGGCCTGTAAATTAGAAACACGATCCCTCGTGACAGTCTTTCAAGAGCTCAGTATGCTTATTGCAAGAAAAGGTCGGTGAATACCGCCCTGCACACATTGGTAAAGTGGTCAGAGGAAACCTTCACGCATGAAGATTATGCAGTAGGGGTCTTCGTTGATATCGAGAGGGACTTCAACAATGTCACTTTAGAGGCAATAGTCAAGCATATTCATAACCAGAGGGTTGAAACCAACCTAATAAGGCTTATCTACAACTCACTTCGTGACAGAACGGAGTAGGGGAGCGTTTGCACTCAGTGAAGAGTCTATAGGAGCATTCCACAAGTTGGTGTCCCCTCTCTCCTGCTCTAGATTGCGGTTGTAAACGACCTTCTAGAGGAACTGGAAAAAGGGGGCTGTCGGGTGATTGCCCATGTAGATGATGTGGAACTTTTGGTTAAAGGACGATTTCCATACACCCCTTTTGATCTGGCTCAAAGTTACCTGTACCAGGTAACTAGGTGGGCGATCACCCGCAGCTGTCGTAGAAGCCTAACATTGAAGAAAGACTAGGAAACGAGTCGGTTGCCTTGTACTGCTGTAGGGGAGATAACGGTAAAAGGCGGGGTCTCCCGCCCAAATTAATTCATTAGCTCTAGGAAACTAGATTTAGACCTATATTGTTTCAAGGCGCCCTTGTCTACACTTGTAAAAAAGCAATTAGCTGAGCATTAGGAACCACATCTACACTGGCGTTTAACATACATATGTAGAACACGGAGGACAGAATTGCCGCAGCACGAACAGCTATTAGGCTAAGGGAAACCGGGTACTTTTTTGACATAAAAAAGGAAAAGAAGACGTTTCTGTGCTGTAGCAAATGTTTTTATAGGGCACTTTAAAACACGTTACCTCTCAAGGGCTATTGTAATTGGTATTCATGCGGCCAGACTAGGAATTTTAACTGATCTTTTTGTATCAGCTGTCAAGAGGAAGATGAAGTGGAATCATCTTCATACTTTCTTTTAGACTGTCCAACCTTCGCCAGGCTAAGATGTAGGCATTTTGACTCGCACTTCTGACTCGCACTTTTGACTCGCATTTTGACTCGCACTTCTTAATAAATTTCACAATATTGTTTTTTTGTCGGCTCGAGTTCACCTCGACCTCCGCACCGTTTCTGATGCTACAGAATTTACCACTTCGAAAACACAATTACACACACATCTGTGCGATGCTATCGCAGTGAAAAATGGCATCTTATACACAAACAAAACACAATCTTCATCAAATTCTTTGATTTTGAACAATCAAGATGTTTTGTTTTCTTACGTTAATTTTTGTTTAAATTATACAGAACCNTTCATCGGGTAACATTTATGTTGAAAATAGAAATAGGTTGTTCCCCGATAATGCGGAAATGCTTCTTTTCATAATGAAAAATATACAAATTGTTAACTCTGATTACTAATTAGATACTATTAAATTGGATTACAAAAATACAAAATCTGGGTTAAATTTCTAAATTGAATCTTCTATAATCGGCCGGATAGGCCGGATTCCGGATATCTACGGGATACCCGGCACATCCCTAATCTTCATTTATGTATATTGTAACTATCAATATCTTATACAGAGAAGTGTAAATTCTTTTTATCTAAAACTAATAAAGTTAGAAGGACGAAACTCGAGGATGTGGTAGTTAACATATTAGTCCTTGACATATATTTTTTTCAAAAATAAATATTGGAAATTTCCAAGGATATTCAAGGATAAAGTTTTGAAAAGACATTTTCAATACTTATTCGTCCTGGTGCACCCAAAAATAAAATTTTTTTCCAATCTACATAATTTTTCCTTTTAATTGATATCCTTATTGTTATTCTACAATGCACCGCATCTTTTGAATAATTTTTTTATTCAATCATATTCTAGAAACTTCAAAGTCCTTTAAAAAAAATCCTGACGTCAGAGAGAACTACTAGAGAAAAACTAAAATCGCAGTTTTACTATATTTGGCCCCAGTTTTGTGAATATATTGATTTTTTTCGTGTGTAAAATTGACAGTCGCACGGTGCTGTCACAGCGCTAATATTCGGGCCTATGTCTGAAGAGGGTTCAGCTCTTTAGTCGTTTCGACCTAAGCTAAGAATTTTTCGTAAGCTCTTATCAGACGCCGCAAAGCAAGTGGACATTGGCTAGTAGAATTATAGAATTACACTTAAAAGCTTTCAGTCAATAATCCAAATAGTAACGTCTCATCACCAGTGTTCCCATTAAAAAAAAAGCTCCATGACAACTGTACCCAGCCGAGTTCAAAACAGCTGTCACTATCAGCCATTGCCATGAGTTTTACCTATCATCCCCCCAACTACTCACCCGGTCGGACTTCTCCGTCAGAATATCAAAAATATATGTGCATACTTATGTGAGGCACCACCTCCTCGACCATCAGTTGCTTAAAGCGCCTCAAAGCAAACGGTTAAGTGTGCTTGCGAAAGCAATTGGAAATGAGAAAATAATTCGCACAATCGAAAGAATAAATTATTTGACGTTTCTAAACAGAGGCATTAAGTCTTAACTAATTCTTTAGTTTCTTTTTGTGCTTAAAAAGTGTAAAGTAGCTTAAGAAAATGTTGCGTTTGTTGAGAAGTAACGCGCTAATGTCGTCCGGCAAATCACTTGCTGGTGCTTTGAATGGAGCGGTAGCCAAATATTCCAGTCTGGTGCCAGATCCACATATTGAACCGGAGATTCTTTATACAGGGGTAAGTACAATGCGCATTTTTGTTATTTTAACTACAAGTGTTTATAGTATATATAGGTATATAAGTATTAATAAATATTTATGTATACATATTGTATATACATTATATGTAGGTGCATGTTTATATTAATCTACATATTAACAATCACTTGAACGTTTATTTCCTTATATTTAAATATCTTATTATAAAATTTCCTGAACGGCTATCTGAATTTACTTTTTTTCCTTTTTTAATTTTGCGCTGCTCCCGCCCCCACTTGAAATCGAAATCAGGTTTTTGTAGCCGCAATCTTGGATTGGATTCAGTACAGGAATTCAGTTTAGGTGCTAGGTAGCGTACAAAAAAAACATCGAGAAAATACGTTTCTTGGTCATTTTCGTTTTATTCGCTTTGCCTATAGTATTGTTATTTGTATTGCCAGAGCTTTTCTCTAAGTTGCAAAGTGAGAACAGAATATTAACCACATGTCATACATATGTATGCATGTATATGTTGGTTTGTATTTCTCGACAGCCGGTCGCGAAATTTGTTTTTTTATAATAATGTACTTTTTAATTTTTTGTTTGGTGTACCTTTTTCTTTTTCAATGCCTTTGAATTTTGCTAGTCATGTTGTTCGCCTTTCATCGCGCATCCTATTATGTTTCGCATATGCACTGTGCCACCAATTGAACCAACCCTGCGGGAAATTTTAGAGTTCCTCGCATGCTAATTTTCAACCCTAACGAATTCATGTACATTTATACGAGCATCTCATGATTCTTGAATTCATTTGATAGAGGGATGCTCCGAAATTTTTATATTTTTTTTTATAGAAGTTTAGCACTTTACCTAACCAGTGCCATATATGTAGATCTACATTTCAAACTTGTACAATAATGATGAAAATTCAACAAACTTCAGCATTTGCACCCAAAAATTCTCAGCTTTTTATTTAGAATTTTTAGAAAAATTGGGTATCCTGAGACTTTTCTGACTCCAAAATAAGTCCGGATGTTTATAGAATAGAACACCAAAACAATATTAAATTTCATAGATACATACACACACATTTTCATAAAACGAAACTTCCATGATAATACTATCAAATAACTTAAAAGATAAATTAAAGTTAAAGTCAAAGTCACACCAAATTATAAATTTCTATACATGTTGTACAAGGTTCATAGAATAGAAGGTTACGACATGGTGCTGTCAAAAATTTGTTTTCCTCCAATGACGTAGTTGCAAAATGAGTTCTGATTGGCTGAAATATTTTACGAAGAAGGAGAGTTTACAAAACGCAGAAAATATAGTTGCCGTATAGCATATTTTAGGAATCCTAATCAAACGGGCATTTTTGATATAAAATCGTGGCAAAGCTTATTATAACAACATAAAATGTTATAACTTCACGTGAAACTGGATTAACATAATAATATTCGTACAATAGTGACAAATGAAGTGTAAATCGAATGCAAATTGAAATTGCTGGTGATTTTATTGTTGACAGTGAGCAGAACGCACTCGCGTATTTTTAAATGAAAGGCGTTCATAACATTGCCAAAGTTTCGCTACCGAAATTGCAATTCATCTCTAAACGTACGGTAAAACCTTAATTACCTTTTTCAGTGTAATTTTTGCAATCAAAAACAGCGCACTTAAATTTTTAGTAATTTAAATAAACTCAATGACGCAGAAAAATCACAAACTTCGACGCAAATTGTCAAACGGTAAATATCAGGGTTACCCATATTTGAAATAAATGTATATTTGACTAAAATAGTGTATTTTTATAAGATAATTTTTCAGCAATCTGGCAACTCCAAAAATTTAGCCATCTACGTCATCAAGATGGCGGCCATGGCTGATGTCGTAAACTTGTTTTCTATGAACCTTGCATGTTGTATGTATGTGCAGTGCCGAAATAAATAGAAAATAGAAAATTTTTTATTACAATTTTTCTGAGATTTTTTTTTATAAAAATGTAGTTCAGCTACAACAAAGAACATTACAAAAAATCTCTAGACTTTGTGCAAAACTCAGAACATTCCATAAATTTGGATACAAGTTGTCATTGTAGTATAAATACATAGTAAGTGCTAGTTTGAAGTTGGTAAACAATCGCTTTGAGATTTGGCAGTTTTTTCGGGCAGTTTCTTCCAAACAAAAAAAAAAACTGTCGAACATACTTTCTATATTCGTCTTCATTAAGCAGCCACGGTTTGAATTCTTTGTTTAAAATCCATTCGTCATTGAAATAACAATCGCTCATTTAAACCGGGAGACAATTACAAATTTTGTTTACATCTACCCTCAAGAACTCACACATTCTAAAGAAAACAAACAATTTTTTACGATTATGTATTAGCTAATTCAACGGCGCTATCACATTGCGCAGTGTGTTTATTGTACATTTAGTTATAAATTAAACAGTCTGCAGGAAATCGCAGTATCGAATAAAATCCGGCGTATAGTGTCGATAGAAAATAGATATTGTAAAATATACATATAAAATTTGCACTTTGTTATACTAAAATTGAATGGACTACAAAACTGCATACTCAGAATGTTTCTAATAAATTTAATAAAAATCTCAAAATTTTGATGATACTTTGTCGAATTTTCCTAAACTTTGTACAAAGTTTGAAATTTTTCCTTACATGGTTTTTGTTAGACAACGAGCTACTTTCGTAAAAAAAACAATAAACATTAAATAATTGAAAGGGAAATAGCGAAAGAACGCTGAAATGCCTCCTCTCTACTTATATTTCCGCCACTGTACCCGATATGAACTGCATAACGAAAGCATATTCAAGCGAAAAAATCACCAAACAAAAATCTGTTTAAAGTACACAAAGGATCGCTTGGCCCCCAAATTGTGTCTAGCTTCAAAAGCTTTTGCGCTGATGTGCTTAGGCTTTTCCTGGAGGGTTCGCCTGCAAATGTTTTTTCTTTTGGTAAACGTGTCTACTTCCATGTACGACAAATACACCGGCACTTTGCATCTGTCATTTCAGGTAGTTTATTAAAATGCTTGTTTTTTGCAACTGTTTTTTTTATGTATACATAATACTTACAAATACATCATAGTACGAGTAAATACATATTTACACACATACAATGCATAGATAAAGACGCTGCCCATTTAATTTAAAATAACAGGCAAACAGATGATTGGACAATATATTATTAATAAATTTTGCTTTAAATTATTAAAATTCATGACGAAAAATCTATTGTCATTGCAAAGCGTAAATTCAATTGCTGATTTGCAAAAAAACACATACACATTTCTAGCACAGACAAGCATACAATTTGATTACAAGTAAATTCTATAAAAAAATAAATTGCATTCACTTTTTGCTGACAAGGAAATCTTGCAGAATTTTATTGATAACGGTAGATTGCTTGAAAAAAAAAATAAACCGTCACTTTAAAAAATATTTAGAACTGATAAACCTAAGCTCAGCTGCGTTCAGCTTACTAAGTACTTAAGTACATACTTATGTACATATTTATGTGCTGATTGTTGACATTCAAATTAGCTTAGTAGCACAGAGTAAAATGAGAAAGCACTTTTTAATGCATACAATTTATTAGAATTGATTTTGTATTAAAATGTTTAGATTGGTGAGGTTTTCTGAAGCTTAAAAACAATAAATATAAATTCTTGTAATGTGCTAAGTAAGAGGAACCTATTGTTCCGTGCCGCCTTCGAACAGCAAATCGTTTTTATGATACGATTATTTATGCCGGTTAAAAAATATGTTTCTTATTATTTTAGAGTTTCTCATTTCTGTAACGATTTTATTACGAATCTTCAAAGAAAATTATGTGAAGTGGTTGACACGAACTCGTAAAAAATTTCTGTATGAAAAATAAAGAAAATTCTGCAAGAAATTCTTCACATAGCAGCCTTTTTTCATAGCTTTACCGAATTTCTTCTGAAATTTCGTAAAGGAATCGAAGTGTGCACAGTTTATTTCATTTTAGGAAATTCGGCAAAAAATCGAATGAGTTCTCTTTGAGATCTTTAAAATTTCTCTACAATTCAGAATACACTGAATAATGGTTCGCAGGGTACGTATGTATATATATACCTATATATGTATGTATAACGAAATAATAAGCTTTGGCCGGGGATTATCTTGGATTTCAAAATTACCAGCGTGGAATTTCTTTAATAAGTTGGAGAATAATATTATTTATTGACTTGAAAACCTTATAACTACGAAAAAAACTGGAGTAAATTTTTGGTTTGATGCTTGCGGAGTTAGTAAATTGTTTATGGCATAGATATGTACATATGTATGTACAGTGACGAGCAAAACTGTAACATGGTGTAACACTTTTTATTTCAGCCGCCGCTATCTTTACAAGTTCTAACGACTTTCATACTTTTGTTGCATATTCTTATTGGCACACCCCTACTCCCTCTCTTATAAAGATTTGAAGTAAATCCAACAACAATAATAAAACCAGCAGGCAAAAATGTAAATTAAGGCCAATGTTACACTTTTGCACTCACTCTCAGTTTTGCATTTTACAGTTATCTTTTACTTAGTTGGAAGTCAGATGACGTTTTTCTGCATTGTAATTTATTCAAGAAGAGATTACCAGTAAATAATATGGTTAATCAGGAAACACGAATGTAAATAATAGATTTACTGCGGAAACGCGGGGCCGTAGAAAAGTGGCAAGAAATTGTGGAGCTCGCCACGTGAAAATGTCAAGACTGAAAAAAAAATTGCCTAAAATGTTATTAAGGACAAACGAAGTCTGCCAAAAAATATTACGGTCCGATATCTTGTGAACTTAGTAGTAAGTAGCGCTGCAGCCACTATTACAGAAGCGTTTAGGGTTTAAAATCGAATGCAAATCAGTAGACAGCGAAGCGAAGAATTGTCAAATTGAACGCAAAGTCATAATAAAAGAGGGAAAAACCATTTTGATCAAGATACATGCACGAAAACCGGACCGTTGCCTATTGGGATATGTTAGCCCTTACAAAATGCAATA